CATGGGGAATACCTTCACAAAGCTGTTTTCCACCACTATGGCTTTCCACGCCACTAGCCAAGCTTAGCCCCTTAGAGTCAGCTTCATTAAAAAGGGTAGCCCTGGCCCATATCGCTAAATGAGAAAATTGGACTGAGTTGTCAGAAACAAAGATGATGACAGAAGCAACCGTCCCGGATGCGCACTAATGCTGAGGCTTCCTATTCTTTTGCTCTTCACGTTAAGAAACACACTGTTTGTGTTGGGGCTCTGGGGGTGTGTGTTGCTGTGCATGCAGGTAGTCCGCAGAAGCAGTCAGGAGGAAAAGCTACTCTGCTTGGTGCGTGAGCGAGCGGGCCACACGTGTGAGACAGCTGTGATCGTGATTCTCATCCTGGTCTGGGAGGGAATCCCAACAAGCCTGGCTGACAAGCTCTACTCTGAACTCACCGAGACCCTGAGGAAGTACGGCACGCTCACGAACCGGCGTTGCGCCCTGAATGAAGAGTAAGTGGAACAAAGGGTATGCTTGCCAAACTTGCAAGCCCACCTTTGGCCTCAGACCATTCACCTCCACTCGTGCTATTGCCCTGAAATACACATAACCTTTCCAACTACTGCAGGAAGTCTGAAAACCCACAAACCTTGTGATCAAAGCAAAGTAAATGTTCTTATAGATCTGGGAAAAACATCTTCCCAGAGCTGTGAAGCATCTCAGTGTATTTAAAGGAAGAGATCTCAGCCCAGGACAGCAAATACCTCAACCTTGAAATAAAAACTAGATGCACTAAAATCATGCTGGAAGCCTACAGAAGCTAGCCTGAACCTGAAGAAACTGCACTGTATTGTTTCCCGTGTCTTTCTGACAGCAAAGAACATTTAAACCCAAATTAACATAGCTATCATTGTATGTTACTTTGGCTTCATGGGTAGAGTCATATTTCAGGAATTATTGCCTAGGCCCTGTCAGAGTGCTTCCACATTATTGCAGTGCCATGAGCATATGCCCCTTTCAGGTACCATGAATATCACTACCTAACAAGGCACCACATGAAAATACCTGCTTTCGAGCAAAGCCAGGTTTCTCACAGAAGTGTAGAAACCCCTTAGTCCTTGCTTTGCAACCATGAAATTATTATCTCCAATAAATTCTCCTGTTCTAATGCATACAGTGCCTCCCTCTTTCATTTCTTCATTATTTACTGGTGGCAGGTGATCCAAGACACATGACTCCCCAGAGCGCTGGCAGAACGCCGATGCCCACTGCGGGAGCGCCCCGGGGTGACCCACCTGCTCCTAACAGCCATATTCTCTTGTTTTTCAGGCGGACTTGCGCATGTCAAGGGCTGGACCCTGAAACTTGTGGTGCTTCATTTTCCTTTGGTTGCTCCTGGAGCATGTACTACAATGGTTGTAAGTTTGCCCGAAGCAAGATTCCAAGAAAGTTTAAGCTGATGGGGGATGACCCAAAAGAGGTTGGTGTCCATTTCTAAACTGAGCCTCATTTGCAAGGAGATGTTTTCTGTCACTCTGCAAATAGAGATACAGTACAAGAGACCAGGGGCCAGAGTCCTGCCTGCATGGCATACATGTAGGGTAATTAAATAACTGCCAGACAAAACTGATTGATTCCAGTCTCCGAGCCAGCTGAATTGACTGTCCAAATTCTGACATCTGGTAAAAGCCTGAGACTTGAAACCACATTTGCAGGCTTTCACAATTAGAGGGGAGGGCACAGCCTGAATAATTGTGACTGCATGAGGCCTGCAGTTGAGCATTCCCCAGTGGCAGAGTGGATGGTTTACCAGCTGAAGGCACATAATAGTGTAGCGAGGAGTCAGAACAGCATAGGGACAAACATGATGAAACTGTGAGATGACAATAGGAAGAGAATAGGAAGATTCATTTTACATACAGTCCTGTCCCACTGAATGTTTCCAGACTGGTCTCTGTGTTACAGCAAACTGGCAACTGTTTAAAACAAGTCAGAGTAATTAAAAAAAATCACTGACCTTAGCCTGGGCACAAGATACCACTGAAGTCATGACTGCAGTGACTCCTGGACACTTCCAGCTAGTCACATGTCTGGGAGGTTCCAGTGACCTACTCTGGTTTTTGACAAGCACATACAAATCCCTTGGTTATGTACTGATGCATGAGTCCACAATTTTCACTGTATTCTGGTGCCTTACACAAATCCAGACATTTCTTCCACCAGAGAAATAATTTCATCTTTAATCAGGGAGCCAGGTACTTCTGCATCCTACGGCCTGTGCCTGTGCTGAGAATAGCACACTGTTTAGAATATCATAGAATCCTAAAATGGTTTGGGTTGGAAAGGACCTTAAGATCATCTAATTCCAACCCGCTGCCTTGGGCAGGGACATCTCACACTGGACCGTGTTGCCCAAGGCTCTGTCTTGAACATTGCCAGGGATGGGGCATTCACCACTTCATTGGGCAACCTGTGCCAGTGCCTCACTTCCCTCACAGTAAAGAGTTTCTTCCTTATATCTAACCTGAATTCCCCTGTTGAAGTTTGAACCTATTACCTCTTGTCCTATCACTACAGTCCCTGGTGAAGAGCCCCTCTGCAGCATCCTTGCAGGTCCCCTTTGGATATTGGAAAGCTGCTATGAGGTCACATAATTAGCATACAGCTTTTCCTCCCCACCACTGCTCTTCTACAGCCCCAAGATTTACAGAATAGCTTTCCTTCAATCGTGCTGTGGCACAAAGCCTTCTTTATCAGAGCTTGCAATCCTAACTTCTCTAAATTTTCTAAGCTGGATACCTGGCCAGAGCTCACCAGGGCACTCTTCCAACTTGCATTCTTGGATTTACTTCCCATGGAAGCCAGATCTGGGCTGGGAAGATGGTTTTACCCTCCAGTCTTGCTCCTACACAAAACTGGGGGCAACCAAAGCATGCATCCAGAGCAGGGACTGGGTGCCATAGCACAGACACAGCTTACGGACAACCCAAACAGGATCTTCACCAATAAAATTATAGAAGTAACACTTAAAAATGGCAACCTGCAAAAGGTCCAAGTTCTGGCAACAGCACAAGGCCACAGCAAGATATTTCTGACAATTTTATAATGTCATTTTGGAGTCCCAAACTAGGATATAGTCCCATAGGAGTAAATAAAAACTTAATGCACCAAACACATCTCTCTCAAACCCGCAGGCTTTTCACAGCTGTTCACACATTCCTAAAATACGCAAGTATACCACTTCAGTATGCCACTGTTCTTTATGTGCTTGTAATTAAATATAAGGGCCTCATATAAGCGAGGTTTTGAATTTGGGATTCTCATCCTGAAAGGATGGGAACAACTCTGGAGTATGTTATTATGGTACTTCATTTTTAAAGAGCCTTTCATTTTGAGAGTGTGTACCTCTCTGTAAAGGAAAAAAGTGTAGTCATTCCTACCTCCATATCACCAACTACTAGGCATGTCCACAATTCTTCATTGCTTAAGAACTGGGAACTTTCTGAAATCTGAAATATTTAAACCATTTTAAATTGCTGCATGAAAAGATGTTGAAGTGCTGTCATTGCAATGTGCAAACCCCTCAAATTAGACACATCTACTTTATGGACCATTCTGATACTATTTCTCCCAAGTTTCTGAAGAGTATTATTTTCCCAAAACTCCAGTAGGGAAAATAATGAGGATCATCACACTTAGATCTAAGACATTACTGTGTGAAAGACTGATTCTTCTTAATATTAACCAAGTTAATATAGTATGTGATTTCCTCTTGCAAGGGTCACACTACACTCACTACTTCATTACTTTAAGTGCAGTGAAACAATAAAATTGAAAGGAGAGTCACAACAGTTATTGTCTAAATAACGGTCTAGGCCTTTATACGACTATCAGTGTAAACATAACTGTGTACAGACCCTAACTTCCCAGATCCCATACATGCAGTACGGAAATGTCATTGGCATTGAAATCTCTATTTCATCTCCTAACAGGAAGAAAAACTAGAGTCCCATTTGCAGAACCTGTCAACCCTGATGGCACCTACCTACAAAAAACTTGCACCTGATGCATATAACAACCAGGTATGCTGGGGAAAAAGGGAATTGGAGCGGTCATGTAAATAACCTGATCTTTACCACACTTTCCAGTGCTTCAACCTTGCCCCAGATTATCACATACATTTTGGGCCAGTATTCCTTTGACACTGGAGTTAAGATGAATGGAAAAGAACAATTCCACTTAAAATGCTTTCAAAAGTAAAAGCAGCAGAATTTGGTGCATCAAGTAGAACTTTTCACCTGCATCAACACAATAAAGCTACTTCAGATTTGATCAGAACTCTTCAGCCCCACAACACAAATTTCTGGATTTAGTGTGAGTAACCAGCCAAACTAGAAAACAGCCATGAAGATGGTGTGAGATTGGTGGCAGAGCCAGAAGGCAGTGTGTAATATTGCACTCGAGTCCTGAAGCCACAGTTTCAGTTCTGCCCTCTCAAGTGGCAGGTGAATTTAGTTTTCACCAAAACAGCCATTTCAAACATGCTTTTAACAAGAGGTTTCACATTTGGACACACTCAGCCCTGCCTATGCGCACAAGTGCCTGCACCAGTCTTCCAGCATGAGGGCATCACGTGCACATATTTTCTGTGAAGCAGTCTCCACAGATACTAGCACATTCAAAGTCTGTATGAGGTTCCCATCATGGCTGTCTCTCACCTGCATTCCTCTACCAAACATCCTTCAGGTATTTGCATCAAAATTTAACAAAATTTAATACCTGTTGCAAGCGCACAACCATTGGCCTTCATTTTTGCTGCTCAGGTTTGCTACAACATTGCAACAGAAGTTACGAGTCCCCAAACTATTAGCGTCACTGCAAACTATGACATCTTTCTGTCCTGCTGACAGTGTTATGATGTAGCAACCACCACAAGACACATTTAAATCTCACGCCTTTACTACATATTTAGTATCAACTAGGCAGGGTAAGCAGATTCAGGGGAGACTTGCCCAATTTCGCTTACCTGATCAGACAATGTTTGGAGCCTCACGGAGGAAACTGTGGCCGTGTGCCCACGAGCTGTGGTTATCTGTCCACGTATCTGAGAGACATTCTGCAAGAGAGGAAAGGAAGAGGAAGAAGAAAAAAAAAGCGAGGGAGTGGTGAACAATAAAATGGTTCTTTGCTTGGTCTGCTTCTCCATTACTGCAAAACTTCACAAAAGAACTTTTCTCCATGTAAGCCACGGTCCTGCCCAACACTTGTTGAAGATACATGCTTTTACAAGTTTCAGTTTCTACCTTGTGTAATAAGGTGTGTGCATGGCTTGGCTTAAGTCAGGAGTTTTATGCAGACTTTGTGGGGAAACCCTGATCAAGCTACTGTTAGTGGCTTTTAAGAGAGGTGACTGAGGCTAAATTTGAACAGTAATATGAAAGGTTCTAAACCCAGAAAGCCTGAAAACCAATCCCCCTCTGAAGCCTGAAAAGAAATTCTAAATTCCCAGGTTTATTCTAATCCAGGTCTGGATTGCTACTGGATTAAAATCTAGAACTGGAAAGGGTGTGTTTTTCTAACTGGACCCAACAGCACCATCTCAGAGAACAGTTGCACCAGGATACTTTAAGCAGACAATTATAGTCCGGCTAACATTTCAGATGACTCTCATTTCATTCTAAAGAAGTTTACATGTTTCAAGTTTTGGTTTGTGGTTATTTTCAGATTCCAGGGACATAAACATTCCAAATTTAAAAAAATAAAGGTCTATGAGCAAACTACGCATCTTTTTAGGGAAAAACTTCTACTTTCAACTTAACTTAAAATGGGATTCATTAAATTCCATTATGTTCCATTAAGTTTAGATTTTTTTGCATTCACTTGAAAGGTTCAGGAATTTCAGCAAAGCATTTTACAAACATGGTTTAATTTTTTACTTTCTAGACAAAATACAAACCCATCATTTGTCTAAGGCTTGATCTTCTATTACAAAATCCTTTCTTTTTGTGTAAGGTTTATTTTTTCATTATGAACTCTTTGTAAAGCTCCTTAATAATGAGTGCTTGGGTAGAAAGCACTGTCTTGACTCAATTATCTGTCTTTTTGGTCTAGGGTTAGAGTTGTACTTTAGCTAACGAAATATACGTTTAGTGTGCCAAAATATTACAAATCAAAAAGCAAATTATTATTTTTCATGAAGTCATTCTGAAGTCAGTTTTCTAAAGCCATTTTCCCTTAATAGCTTGGTGTATTTCCAGTCTACACAAACACATCACTCTTACAGTGCCAGACTCTGAAACCATGCACTGCATTTGTCATGTAAAAACACCAACCACTGGCAGAGTATCAAAAGTAATATGCAAGGAAAAGTATTACTGGCCAATTTCACAATCAAACCAGAGACATAAGGTAACAGGGAGCAAAGCAGCAAGGAATGAAGTATGGGTACTAAATTGCCATCAAGTTACTTGATTTTAGTTGCTTTCAAAATCTGTATGTTGCCACCTCCAAGATGTTAGTAGACTTGCATGTTGTCACAGTAGAGTGTTCAGTGCTAATTCTGTGTACTGGGACACACAGCTCAGCTGCAATGATATCTGTCACCTCTTTCCAGATCGAGTATGAACACAGAGCACCTGAGTGTCGCCTGGGTTTAAAAGAAGGTCGCCCATTCTCAGGGGTCACTGCCTGCCTGGATTTTTGCGCTCATGCTCACAGAGACTTGCACAATATGCAGAATGGGAGTACACTGGTAAGTCTGAGATGCATGTAAGCCTCCTTACTCCAGCACTAATTTCATACATTTAATTCATTATCTCCCCTCTGTTTAAATTTACGCTTACGTTAACGCAGATTGCTAACAAAAGAAACATTAAGCAGTAACTGAGCTAACTTACTACCCCCCACACAATTTTTCATTCAAATGAATGAGACTTACGATGTATTTAAGAAAGGTTTAATATAGAGCTGGTAAAAGAAACTGTGGAGACAGTGGAAAGAAGGTCCCCGCAGGGCTGAAATGCGGTGTTCCTGGCACAAAATGGTTTATGTTTGTCCTCTTGAAACATCTTTTTTTGTAACAACTTTGGATCATAACTTTAAATAAAACAAAAATAGTCCAGGGTATGCCTTAACTGACAAGTCAACCACAACCAATACAATACGTATTCCTAACTGATCTTTCTTCCTAAAACTGGCTGATGCAACAGTTTTGCTACAGAGGAATTCTGTATCAGCATCTTTTTTTCACTGAAATCTTCCCAATACCTGTTTTAGCTGCAGCTAACACAATGAGCACACTGCATGACATAACAGTAATTTCCTTAAATCTTATTATTAACATTACAGTGACTTGCCCCTTTGCAAGCTCCTGGAAGTTGCCATTGCAAGAGGGTGGGAAATACAATGGCAGTATGTTGCATTGCACACTATTTCCAGTAGGTAGCTATGTATTATAGTGAAAAAATCTTCAGGTGAGTATAAAGTCCCAGGTTACACTGGTTTATCTCTCTGATCATAGTACAATGGATCACACAGTTTATTTCACATTAGGCTAATCCCTAACTATACTGTTAATTTCAGCACAAGAACAAGAAATAGATATAGATATATGTACACCTTCTGTTTCTACCAACACTGTCTAACAGAGCAGTGGAAGAAATTAAATTGCAGGCTTCTGGTGATATGCATAAATTAGTCATTTGAGTGGTTTGAGAGACAGTCTAACACACCTTTCCAACAGGTTTGCACACTAACTAGAGAAGACAATCGTGAAATTGGTCAAACCCCAGAAGATGAGCAGCTCCATGTACTCCCGTTATACAAAGTCTCTGATGTGGATGAGTTCGGAAGCACGGAAGGCCAGGAGGAGAAGAAGAGGAATGGCAGCATCCAGGTCCTTACCTCCTTTCGCCGAAAAGTAAGGATGTTGGCAGAGCCCGTTAAGACGTGTCGGCAAAGGAAGCTAGAAGCAAAGAAAGCAGCTGCCGAAAAGCTTTCCTCCTTGGAGAATGGGTCTAGCAAATCTGAAAGAGAAAAGTCTGCTGCAGCACGCAACAAGCAAGGCAACTCAGAGGTGGCAGGTCATGCAAAGCAGCTAGCAGGTAAACACGTGAATCTGATTGGGATATTTATCAGCAGTGGTAAGCTTCCTAGAAATCAGGGCCATTTATAACAAATCTCAAGAAAACCATTGTTCTCAGCCCAAAACCATTTTAAAGTAAAAAGAAAAGAGAATTCTTCAAAGTAACGGCAATATTGTAGGTTTATAAATACTAGAGTGCCAAATTGTGGTCAACTCTGGAGAAGCAGGGTAAAAAAAAGTTGTAGGAGAAACCCTTTAGTTTTGAATAGTTAACACCTGTAGAAAGCTGGTGCTTCTGCAAACTGCAAACTCTTGCCATCCAGTGTAATGTAAAGTATCTTTAAAAGAATAGTAGTGCTAGAAGCCATGAAAAGGAGTTTGTGATGCTGCTGCCAAATTAAAAATGACCTACGCATCACTCACTGTCTGCCACTCTTAGAGAACCTCCTAATTTGAGGGGATTCAAGCTTAACCTCTTTCCTACTATTTGTACTCTCTGCTTCAAGACCAAAAGCAGAGTAGGTTTTTCCATAGCGGAGGAAGAGTTTTAAAATCCACTTAACAATCCCTGGCAGTTTCACCAGTAGATTTGAGCATCCTGAGCAAAGGAGTTCGTCATGTCTGTTTTATTGTTACAGCAACTTTCTCAGAGAGGAAAACAGCAATGCACCCAAGGTCACCCAGAAGGTCACTGAAATACCTATGAATAGAAGCCAGTTGTCCCATGACCCAGGCTAGGGTCATAACCATTGAATGAACCATTTCACTTTAACAAATGATGGTTCTGCTCTTACGTCTTCAATTCATCTCACTTGTTACTAAACTGTAGTTTCTGTCAGTGAATGCCACCATTGGTTTTTTACATAAAGCTAAGAACATTTTTTTGAGACGGTTCTATTAATACAGATGAGAAGAACTATTTATTTTTTGGAAAAAGAAGGTCACTTCGTGCACGGCTGTTTGGAAGCACTTTGATGCTGCATTTCATGGGCTACTTAAATGATGATTCAACTCTTTGGATTGTATGCATGTGACTCTGAACAGCTTGCACTGTCCTCTTTTTCCCTGTTGCCACTAGCATCTGATCTCACTGGATACATGCCAAAAAGGATGAGTAGCCTTAGTATTTATTCAGCTTCTTAAGGATGGTATTTGAGATATGAGAAAGGGAACCTCTGTTAACCTATCATATGATATACGTTTCTTAGAAATGTCATGGATATGTATAGTGAAGGGTCTATAAAGTACAGAGTTGGTTGTTTGGTTGCTCGGGTTTTTTAAAGCTTGTTTGTTGTGTGGATTTTTTCTTTTCACATCTACAGATCTTTTACGTCTTTCAGGACCAGCCACACAACAACAGCAGCAGCAGCAGCAACATCCACAGCGCACTCTCCCTAACAACCCTCAGTCAAATCCTATTAACTCATACTCGGGTTCAGGTTCTGCAAATCTCTATGTAAGGTTGCCTAATCCAGCCAATGCTTATTCAAGCTCTTCATACACTTCAGATCCCTATGGAGGGTCCAGTCCCATGAACCTCTATACAACCTCATCACAGCCTGCGGGGTCTTATTTGAATTCTTCCAGTCCCATTAACCCTTATTCAGGATCATTAAGCCAGAATAACCAATATCCACCTTACCAATGCAATGGAAGCATGCCTATGGACAACTGCCCCTCTTACTTGGGCTCCTACCCTTCCCAGCATCAGCACATCGACTTGTATAGTTGCCAGAGCCAAGACCATATGTCTAAACTAAGTCTGCCACCCATACAAACATTATACCAGCATAGGTTTGGGAATAGCCAGAGTTTTGGTCCCAAGTACTTGAATTACGGAAACCAAAACATGCAGGTAGACTCCTTCAGTAATTGCACCATTAGACCAAATGCACACCATGTAGGGTCTTTCTCCTCTTACTCCACCCACGAGGCTGATGGCCATTTTATGGAGGTTACCTCAAGGTTAAAATCTAATCTGAGTAATCAGAGCATGGATTATGCCTCCATGACTAAAACCAGTGAACATCATCACATGCAACCCCTTCCACATTTAGCACATGACTACCATTCTGCTCCAAGTATGTTCAGTGGCCCTCCCAGTTCACTGCATCTCCAAAATAAGGATAGTGAAATAATTTCACATGCAGTTAACGGTTTGTCTAACATGCTTCCAGGTCAAAACCATGATAGGACTACTCCCCAGGGTGGTTTAGAGAAAACTGATGTGCTGAATCCAGAAAAAGCAGAGGATCCCGATGATGTCTGGTCAGATAGCGAGCAGAACTTTCTGGATCCAGAAATTGGAGGAGTGGCAGTTGCTCCATCTCATGGGTCAATTCTCATAGAGTGCGCAAAGCGTGAGCTCCACGCAACAACTCCCTTAAAAAACCCCAACAGGAACCATCCCACCAGAATTTCCCTTGTCTTTTACCAGCACAAGAGTATGAATGAGCCAAAACATGGTCTGGCTCTGTGGGAGGCAAAGATGGCTGAGAAGGCGAGAGAGAAGGAGGAAGAATGTGAAAAGTACGGTCCAGACTACGTGCCTCAGAAATCTTATGGCAAAAAGGCAAAGCGGGAGCCTGCTGAGCCACACGAACCCTCTGAGCCAACATACTTGCGCTTCATCAAGTCTCTTGCACAAAGGACACTGTCGGTCACCACAGACTCCACAGTAACTACATCTCCATATGCCTTTACACGGGTTACAGGGCCTTACAACCGATATATCTAACTTCACACCTTTGTTGGTTACCTCATTTGAAAAAACACCCTGTCAGTAGGGTAGTTCCTCTTTAGGTTTTGGGGAAGGCAAGGGTGGAGAAGGAAACAGTGTTTTTACAAAACTCTTCAGTGGAAAAAGCCTCAGCACACCAGCAAAAGGAGGTAATCTCACTAGCGCACTTATTTTCCACTGGTTTTTAAGTGGCCACAGATGGCACGTAGGAAACAAGACCAAAGCATCCTATGCAAAAACGAAACAAGAAAGTGTTTCACAATTTACATTTGAAAACACTGGCTCCATTACTGAAAGAGATAATCTGCAAATGGATTTTTTTTTCCTTACAGTTTTGCACATCTGTGGCCACTTTTAATGTCATCAAGTTTGCATAGTCATGGAACAGGAGCAAAAAAATCCCCTAAAAAATAATACTGTAGTATTACAACTGCAGGAATCTTAAAATAACATCTGGTGCTGAATCTATAATGTACTGAAATACTGGAATTATGACTTTTTAACATGCAGTTTTTACTGTAAACTTATTAGTCTCTTGATTTTATTTAACTAAGTAGTTAAGTATAAAACATAATGAACAGACAGCAAAACACTGAATTTATTTGGATATTCTAAACCCATGGTGCTATCTATGAGAATGTTGTCTTTATTTTAACAGTCGAACAGTTAATGCCTTTATAACAAAATGTCAGTGATGTAGTCAGATGTTCTTCAGCAACAGGGACGACCTTTTCATTCATGTATGTATTGAATTTACCTGGTGTTAAAATAAGCTTACTTTTTAACATATGAGAATTGCAAAGACCTCTGGATTTTGCTCATCCAGTCAAGTCCTAGAAAAGGACAATAAAATATATAGAGAGATATTTTTTTGAACTAGTGTTTCAAAAGCACTTTGTCTACCTAAGCTTGGCAACTTGAACAATGCTGAGGTACTAAGACATTAAAAAAAAAAAAACTTAAAAAAAGAAGGAAAAAAAAAAGAGTTTACTTTGATTTTAAAATGCAAAGATAATTTTTTTAAACAAAAAAAGCTTTTAAAGACTTTTTGTTTTAGCCATGCATCTGCTAGTGGGCTACATATCCATTTTTAATACAGTCAGTTATGGTAAAAACGGGGCTTACTGGATATAAGGGAATACTTTAGTACACAAAACACATGTTTTTCTGGTGCTCATCTCACACAGCTATACTGTAAAACCGTTTTCTACAATTATTATGACAAGTTCATTGCTCAAATATGTACAGTTTTAAGGAAAGGATTTTATATTAACCACAGGTAATAATTAGCAGCATGTGACAGACTACAACTAGCTAGCTTGGGCTTCTGCTGTTTCTACAGATCTGTATGCTCTTCAACTATCGAATGGCAGATTGCTTTTGTGTTGATAATTATGTACATTGTGGTGTAAGTCATTTCTCGGTGCAAGTGTCCTCTTTTTCCAGGAAGATCGAGCAGACCAATGCCTACACAAGCTGAATGAAACAGGGTTAGTTCTGTGTGATTCCGTTGATTAAATAGATAAAACATAGGCAGCTGGCTTGCTGTGGTGGTTTTAACCATTAATTTCTATTAAAAAAAGAAAAAAGCAGGAGAGTTGTATAGTAAATTAAATTGTAAACAAAACTTTTTTTAACGCGATGCTTTAGTATTTTAGTACTGTAAAAATATTAAATCTATATATATTTGGGTTTTGAGCTGAATTCACATCATGGTGCTACTCAGCCTGCTACAAATATATCATAATGTGAGCTAAAAAAACACATTAAAAAGGTTTGAGTGATGTTCCTACTTGTCATATACCTCAACACTAGTTTGGCAATAGGATATTGAACTGAGTGTGAAAGTTTATATATTGTACACCATCTTTTTCCCCCAATAGCCTTTGAAAAAAGAAAAAGCATAAAAAAAAAAAACAAAACACAAAAAAACTCTCTCAATACTTGACATTTTAGCAAGTATCACTTGAACTTCAGCTTTGGTTTTTGTTTTATCTTGTTGGTTCTAAAAATTCAGGGATATTTCAGCTCATGTTCTCCTATGCCAACGTGTCACCTGTGTGTGTGTAAAGCTGTTGTAGGTTAAATATATTATTCTTGGGTTTTTTTGTTTTGTTTTGTTTCTTTTTCCTTCAGGGATTTGATGCTTTCCTTTTGAATCCCTTCTCTAAGTTTTCTTGTACATTGTATTGCTGTAACTAATTTTGTAAATTTGTTAG